TTAAACAAAAAAAAAGAAACTAGTTACTTTAAAGCAATGTTCTTTAATCAAAATNTGACATTCATACAAATGAGTAATCCTGTAAACGTAAACAGAATATTTTATATAGATTTTTTTTAATGAAAACTTAAAATCCTGCATTATTTTCCGGACAACCCGATAATAACGCAGTAAAATAACCACCGTTTCAGATGTGACATACTAATCATCGAAACTTAGGGCTTTTAGATTTTAGACGGTTTCGACGTTTCGACGTTTGCCAAAAGATTTTTGTTTTCATATGCCACCTACATTTGTATTTAACGCCCACGTATATAAACAAACTACATGCTTATGTTGTTACACATGTTTTCCCTTGTAAAGCGAAAAAAAAGCCGTTCACAAATACCGTTCCACTGATAATCGTTGATAATGAAATTTTTATTTTAAGGCGGCTGAGATAATAAAAGTTGATACATGTTGGCGGATCACCTTTGCCGTTTTTATTAATAGGACCAGGGCGCGAATCGTGTCAGGACGCGGCGACGCCAAGCAGTCGTCGCATCGGAATGGTCTTTTTAATCCATATACGTCGACCATCGATTGTTTCAAAATAGCCGGACGTTTTATTTTTTTATTTTTTTTTTTTGTCGAATAAATTATCTGTAGCTTATCTCGACGAGGCGTAAAAAGGGGTGTTTCGCGGTGCACCTGGCACATCACGATTGATTTACAACTATGATCAAGATAATCCTTATAAAAAAAATCCTTTTCAACTTTATAAAAGATTTATTCGACCCTAAATTCATTTTCTTAACGGCTTGGCTCAATGCTTGATATTAAAAATATTATAAACCAACTTTCTACTTAAAGAAACATAAACAAATAAATTAAGGTCAGCCTATTGACAAGTAAGGGGTCAACTTGAAACAAATAAAGTCCGCATGTTAACTTTTTGATTGGTACTTGATGATATTCAAGGGATAAATTTGCTAACTTATATTGCAGATTGTAAATTTCTTCCCAACTTTTTAATAGTTTATCAATGAACCGTACATAAAATGTTAACATCAAATAATTCACTATTTTCGTGGTCCGCTTGACCAATTAATACAAGACAATTAATTAAGGTTTTTAGTTGAGACAAAAAAAGTGTAATGGCACGAGAGGGATTCGAACCCACGACCTTCGGCTAGATACACCGCTGCTCTACCACTTGAGCTATCGTGACCTCGATCCACTCGGACACTAATTTCCCATCTCAACCCCACCTTTTGAAATTTCCCAACTTTTTGCCATTTTTCAAATGTCGTGTAAACCACAAAAACTAGGGAATTAAAATTAAACATTTTCAAAATTTATATTGTTTAATGCGGAATATACGGCCTTCATATGATTTTTTTAATTGTTGTATATCAGTCTTGGTGAATAACGGTCTATATTACAAGAGTTAAATTTACTAGTTTTCGTGGTCCGCTTGTCCAATTAATATCTTTCAATTAATGAAAGTTTTTAGTTGTGATAAAAAAGTCATTGTCACGAGCGGGATTCGAACCCACGATCTTCGGCTAGATTCGCCGCTGCTCTACCACTTGAGCTTGACCTCGATCCACTTTTGAATTTTATCTCCTTTTTGCGATTTTTCAAATGTCGTGTATTCTATTTGATTCTCGGCGACAAATCAAATGGCCGAGGAGAGCTTTAGTGAAGGTATACTTCATTTTAACTTTTAAATCCACTAATTTCGTGGTCCGCTTGACCAATTAATATATTACAATAAATTAAGGTTTTCAGTTGAGATAAAAAATCAATGGCACGAGCGCGATTCGAACCCACGACCTTCGGCTAGATACGCCGATGCTGTATTAATAACTTTTTTTCGTCTCAACTAAAAACCTTAATTAATAGTTAACATCAAAGCTGCAATTCGTCCAAAAGTACTTCGTGGTCATCAAATTGGACTTTTTTTACTATAAAAAATCTTCTCGGCCGTTTCAGATAGTTTGAAAACAGTTCAATTTACAACTCTGACGAGAATTTAAAAAGATTTTCGTCCCAATTTCCCCTTGATTAATTTATCCATGGTCGCGAGGCAAAAACGTAAAAATATACTGTAAAATAGAATAATTGGATATTTTCCTATTATTTTGGTCTGCCTGGTCTCGTTGGGTTCTGTCGTCGCCATCTTCAGTCTTTTTAGGTTGGTAGTTCATTTAATAAGTCCCATAGTTCGGGTTTTCATAAAAAATACATCATTTTCTGGGCGTTATTTTTTGCGCAGTTGTGTCTTTTTACTAAGTAAAATGTAATGGGGGCAGCAGACCAGCTCTATATTGAGCAACAGGCTGTCTGGATATGAAGTTGTTGGCGAATGTTCACTGAGCCTTCGCAATGAACATAACTGGCCTTCAAACCCCAAGCATTGGTACTTAGCGAACCAACGGCTTTCAATTAAGACCTAGCACTGAATCCACGGGTCAAAATGGTCTGTGAAAGTTGTTAGGGATGATTTATCTTCAAGCCTCAAACAATCGACTTACCACGGCAAAAAAGGGGTTTTCTAACCGATGAATGTAAATGATCTTAAAACCCTAAACAACGAGACATATAAAATGAACCAAAAAGTTAAAAAGACCAATACTGAACCCAAGGGGTAAAAGGTATTTTTAAGTTGTTAGGTATGATTAATGCAATTGAGCTTCAAGTCTCAAACAATGGGGCTTATAAAATAGTCGAACAACCTAAAATGAAGCCAACACTGATGTCACCGGTAAAAAGTGTCTTTCTAAGTTGTTAGGTATGACGAACTACGTGATCTTCAAACCCTAAACAATGGGACTTATCAAATGAACCAAAAAGTTAAATAGACCAATACTGGACCCATAGGGTAAGAAGGTCTTTTTAAGTTGTTAGGTACGATTAAACGTAAATGATTTCAAACCCCAAACATTGGGACTTAGCGAACCAACGGCTTTCAATTAAGACCCAGCACTGAATCCACGGGTCAAAATGATCTGTGTAAGATGTTAGGAGTGATTATTGCAATTGATCTTCAAACCATTAACAATGCGAGCGTATAAAATAGTCGAACAACCTAAAATTAAGCCAACACTGATGTCACCGGTAAAAAGTGTCTTTCTAAGTTGTTAGGTATGACGAAGTACCTGATCTAAAAAGACCAATACTGGACCCAAAGGGTAAGAAGGTCTTTTTAAGTTGTTAGGTACGATTAAACGTAACTGATCTTCAAACCCCAAACATTGGCACTTAGCGAATCAACGGCTTTCAATTAAGACCCAGTACTGAATCCACGGGTCAAACTGGTCTGTGTAAGATGTTAAGTGTGATTATTGCAAATGATCTTCAAACCATTAACAATGCGGGCGTATAAAATAGACGAACAACCTAAAATTAAGCCAACACTGATGTCACCGGTAAAAAGTGTCTTTCTAAGTTGTTAGGTATGACGAAGTACCTGATCTTCAAACCCTAAACAATGGGTCTTATCAAATGAACCAAAAAGTTAAAAAGACCAATAATGAACCCAAGGGGTAAAAGGTATTTTTAAGTTGTTAGGTATGATTAATGCAATTGAGCTTCAAGTCTCAAACAATGGGGCTTATAAAATAGACGAACAACCTAAAATTAAGCCAACACTGATGTCACCGGTAAAAAGTGTCTTTCTAAGTTGTTAGGTATGACGAAGTACCTGATCTAAAAAGACCAATACTGGACCCAAAGGGTAAGAAGGTCTTTTTAAGTTGTTAGGTACGATTAAACGTAACTGATCTTCAAACCCCAAACCTTGGGACTTAGCGAACCAACGGCTTTCAATTAAGACCCAGCACTGAATCCATGGGTCAAAATGGTCTGTGTAAGATGTTAGGTGTGATTATTGCAAATGATCTTCAAACCATTAACAATGCGGGCGTATAAAATAGACGAACAACCTAAAATGAAGCCAACACTGATGTCACCGGTAAAAAGTGTCTTTCTAAGTTGTTAGGTATGACGAACTACGTGATCTTCAAACCCTAAACAATGGGTCTTATCAAATGAACCAAAAAGTTAAAAAGACCAATAATGAACCCAAGGGGTAAAAGGTATTTTTAAGTTGTTAGGTACGATTAAACGTAACTGATCTTCAAACCCCAAACATTGGGACTTAGCGAATCAACGGCTTTCAATTAGGATCCAGCACTGAGTCCACGGGTCAAAATGGTCTGTGTAAGATGTTAGGTGTGATTAATGCAATTGAGCTTCAAGTTACAAACAATGGGGCTTATAAAATAGACGAACAACCTAAAATTAAGCCAAAACTGATGTCACCGGTAAAAAGTTGTTAGGTATGACGAACTACGTGATCTTCAAACCCTAAAAATTGGGACTTATCAAATGAACCAAAAAGTTAAAAAAACCAATAATGAACCCAAGGGGTAAAACGTATTTTTAAGTTCTTAGGTACGATTGAACGTAACTGATCTTCAAACCGCAAATAATGGGACTTAACAATTGAACCAATAACTTAAAAAGACCCGACACAGAAGTCCCCCCGGGGAAAAAACTGTTGACGTTACAAAATACTGATCTCAAGGCACATAGAACGTTCATTCGTTTCCGGTGATTTTAGACAAACTTTCCTTGCTGTTTTGGTTTGTCAGGCGCGTTTCGCCGTTTGCCGTCCTCAGTGTTTTGTTTGTAATTAGGGAATGTCTGGAACAAAACAAGGTGAAGAAGCCGCACTCGTACTCATTGGACCAAAATTTTCATAGTCCTGGTACGCCTTCGCTGCTTTTAACTACCACCACTGAAGATGGCGAAAGGTAAAAAAAAAACAGTCAGGCCAAAATGGTCGGAAACCGTACTGTCAACCTGCGTACCTCATGTGTCGCATTCTTCCTCTAAGAACTAGATTTTTTTTAACCATAACTCGGCCGAAGTTCACAAATAATTTTACGATCTTCCTAGATCTACAGAATTGAAATGTTGTAGAATTGTTATAACAAGAATAATGTTTCTAGGTAGCAACGAAATGCAGCACCATCTAAATACCCTCTGGGCGGCTTGGCAGATAGGAAAACCGTCCACATCTCTCAAGGGTTGGTATTCGATGTAAATTGATGTTGTTCCTTGTTTTCCCTATGTGAACCTTTTGTTTAATATTCGGACAGTAAGTTGAACCCGACCTACATCCCCTAGCGTCCGTCACACGTAATTGGTCCGAAACCTCGTTGATCTATGGGTAGTTTTTGGTTGTTGACATTCACCGAATAATACATCTGGTCGTTCTAGGTCCGGCGGATGTTCAGAACCACCGAAACAGCCTCTGGGCGGGCTGGCAGATAGGAAAATCTATTAAGGGTCAGTACCAAACAAAAATTGATGGTTGTCGCACGCAATTTACATTTTTGTCGACTTCCTTTTCCCCCGTGGTTAAATTAGAACATCGTATTCAATTTGATCCTTGTAGATGTTATATTTCATGTAATGCATAACATAAAAGATGTTTTTTAGATAGAACCAAAGTCAATAGTGTGTTACAAATTGGAAAATCATTGTCATCACCAAATTAGACTAGCATATATGTGCCGTAGTATTTGTTGTATTAAGCAAAGTGTACTGAATGTATTTGTATTTAGTATTTTCTTTGTAACTAAGCATAAAGAACGGGATTTTTGTGCAGTAGTGCACACCTTAAAATAACCTTCGTTTTATTACTTTTATTATTAATTTTCATTTGAAACATGCGAAAAACTATTAAAACTCAGAGTAAATCGTGAAAAAGGGGTAAAAACATTATTTATACGCTAATGCAAAGTAACTCAAATTGGTCAAAATTTGGCCATAAAAATTGCAAATATTTTACTCTCTATCACTTGAAATGTGATTTAACAAAAAATAGGCAATTTTGGAAAATTTAATTTTTTTCCATGAATCGGATAGTTAATGGTTTCAGGGAGTGCTAATAAGGACTTTCACCCCGAAATGTTGTCATTCCCCGATGTGCTGACCCTAGGGTCTATACTTCCCTGTCTTCCCTTTGTCCTTTCGGACTCCGAACGGACGTACCTGTCTATTGCTAGACTTAACGGACGCCCAGGGGTACCGAAACGCCCCCAAGAGTTTGGTGGCTTCCAGCGTTTCCATCTTTAGCCACCCCCGGAGAGATAGATAAGGGTAGCTCTCGGTACCCTCCATCTAAAGGTACAAGTTGTTTACAAATCACGACCACCAAGAGTCCAACCTCAATTGGGGGCTGCTTGGAGTCACCCTCACCCGTGGTTCAGTATGATTTTTAAGTTATTAAGCGTTTTAGTTGAGATAAAAAAAGTCAGTGTCACGAGCGGGATTCGAACCCACGATTCAAAATTCAAAAGGTGGGGATGAGATGGGAAGTTCGTGTCCGAGTGGATCGAGGTCACGATAGCTCAAGTGGTACAGCTACAGAACTAGGTAATTATTTTTAAGGTGAGACTGATCGGCCACCCGGGGTTGTCCCCTACTGTTTTCACCCCGAGAGGTGAGCGTTCCGTAACCCAGGAAGCCTCCACCAAAGCGGAGGGGGGGAAAGGAAGGAATTAAGGAAAGGAAAGGATAGGAATAAGAATTTGCCTCCATTGGTTGTCTCTAAGCGCCAGAGCTGATGGTAGGACGTGTAGTCGGGCATCCCCCGCAGGACCTGAAGGCAAAGGCTGTGTGTGCTGTATGGGAGCTCGCCAACGGGTACCAGCCCTGTGTCCCCGTGCAGACAAAAGAAGAGGTCGACTTCTGGCTGAAAGATGAATGGCAACGCAGATGGGATAAGTCGCCCAAAGGGAGGCACACTTTTCTGCTACTGAGGAGCATAGAGAACCGCTTGGCCATGGCCCACCTGACGGCTGACCACTACATGTCCCAATTGCTGACGGGGCACGGGGACTTCTCGGCGAAGCTGCACGGCTTCGGACTGAAGGATAGCCCATTGTGTGAGTGTGGAATACCGGAGACGATCGAGCACGTAGCCCTTGTGTGCGAAATGTACACTGTCCTCCGCACCCGATAGATGTATGAAGCCAATGTCGATGAGGCTTCCATGGACACCGTGCGTCGTGCCATATCCAGCCCGGCCGGGTACAAGGCCACGCAGAGGCTGTGGAAGGCCATTATGAGGCAGAAAGGCTGGCCGGCCTAACTTAGGCCAGTGCCCCTATGTGTAAGCCGAAAAGTAAGATAAGTATGCATTAATCAGGCTGCCACTACGATGCTATTCCCCCAGTTCCCAACCGGACGCCTCCGCGAGGCGCCAGCTCGGCGCCGCGAAGTTCCGGCGGGGGAATTGAGCTTCGGCCACTAGGCAGTGAAAGTTACCTGCAAAGCTCTTCAAGGGCCAAGGGGCAGGATAAGAAGAAAAAAAGACCTAGTGGTAGGACGTGTAGACATCTGGTCGCCTAGGTCTATCCCTCAGGGGAGGTCACGAACCCGGTTATATGGCAGGGTCGCTAGAACCCCCTTAAACCGGATGCCAGGGTGAGCTCGCTTCCCAACCAATGGGAGATAAGTAGTTTAAGCCCTCAACGCATACAAACCAAATTCTAGCCTAAAGCTTTTATAATACACTCGCACAAGTAGATACATTCACACCTATTTGAATGAGGATCAGATAATGACCATCGGATGAAGAAAACACCAAAAACGTTATAACAAACTTAAAGGTCTAAATATATTACAGTAATGATTCAGATTAAAATTTACTAAAGTTGATGTTAATGGGAATTACATATTGACATATTACATAATTACAAAATTATGTTGACATTGCAAAATCTTGTATTTTGTTTTATAAGCAGGTTTTTGGTGTTTCCTTTGTCCGATGACTATTTACCTGATCTTCACTCAAATAATTTTGGATGATTTTCACCCCATACATATTTAAAATTCACACCTATGAACATAGCAGTCATTCCGATTATATACACAATTCACTACTTTCGTGGTCCGCTTGACCAATTAATACATGACAATTAATTAAGGTTTTTAGTTGAGATGAAAAAAAGTTAATGGCACGAGCGGGATTCGAACCCAATTGTCGTCGAGAATCCAAACGATCAACGACATTTGAAAAATGGCAAAAGGAGGGAAAACTCATAAGGTGGGGTTGAGATGGGGAGTTGATGTCCGAGTGGATCGAGGTCACGATAGCTCAGGTCGTAGAGCAGCGGCGTATCTAGCCGAAGGTCGTGGGTTCGAATCCCTCTCGTGCCATTAACTTTTTTCATCTCAACTAAAAACCTTAATTAATTGTTATATACACAATATTAATAATCTGAATTATGGTCGATGGGGTACTTTTTATAAACATACGACATTGACCCTGACACACAATGCTGGAGGGGCGATGGTAACTCTATATTCAATCATCATCCTTTCACCACTCACACTAATAAATACACTCACAACAAAACCGTAAAACAGATAAAATAAAAGAAGTCCTCCACACAGAGGGCCAGGGGACCCAGAAATCCGCTACTGTTCTCGAGAAACTTAATTCCGGCGGCATGCCTATACGCTCTCTGGTAAGAGCCAAGGCATGACAAACTTCTTTTGTGTGAGACACATCCAGCAACCTCTGCATAATTGGCACGCGGGTAGGGGTGCTGTCAGCCGCCCGTGGATTAACAAAGCAATCTTGTCTCTATATTCGTATAAAAATCGACCATTTTTTTTATGCAACGTGCTCGGAACGTTCCAGAATGTGCGAATTGGGTCAAGGAAGACGTATTCTTTATCTAAGGGACAGAAATTGAAATATGGCTTGTTTTCATTTCAGATTTATTTTATATCAACGTCCGCGGATTAAAAAAAGTCTGACGCTTTGGCCGTTAGTCAGAAAAGAGGTCCTGTTTTGTTTTTAATTATTACAGAGGTTTTTTAATTTTTTTTTTTTTTTTAAATAGAAAATCTATGTTGTAACGATCGGCCTTATCAGGATGATCAGATGGTGGTGAAGGGTTTATTTCTAGGGGGAGAAATTTCTACCGTAATCGGTCCTCCTGTAAACGGCTTTCGCCCCCGGCTGGCATTCGGACAAGATGGAAATCCGAATAAATCGTTCGTTCCCTCCCATCGGGAATAAGTCTTTACCGCCGAAGGGCCGTCATTGAAAGTCAAAAATCATGAAAATCTCTTTTCACGGTCCTAGAAATAATTAGACAAAACTCGCCCCTTTTATGCCAAGGGTCGTCAATTGAAACCGACCTCTTCCACGGATCGAGCCGGTGATTTTCGACGCCGGGCACGAAGCGAGATGAAAATGGTTCTTAAAAATTCGAGACGGGACGAACGGAAAAGCCTCGGAAATGGAAAAACCCCGTGAAACGTTAGACGACCTTTTCACCCCCGGTTCGATTTTATTTTAAATTTTCCCAATAAGTTCCAGGTTCTTTCAGAAATCGCCCCGTGAAGGGAAAATCTCATTAACGTCACGTAATTTTCATGTTGACTTCTGTCAGATAAGATTCGCATTACCGTGAAAAAATAATTCTTTAATGTAATCTTCTTGCCATCCCCTGTTGCGAAAATGTCCACGAAGAAAAGCCATTTAACAATTCCTTACATTTTTTGAGCTTCCTACTCCATTAATTATGTGTAATTTTGTATAAATTAACATATTCTGCCCCACACCCATGTAGGGATGTGAAAATTTAATTAATATCATTTTAATATTTCATAACTCTTTGAATAAATTTGTTCTTTATGTCGCATAAATGTAGAATTTATTTAGTATTTCCGACCTTGATTTAATACTTCCAGTAAGACTAATAAGAATAAAATATTTTCGTAGTATGTTAAAATTTGCATTTCTTTGTGTTTGTTACCCCATGTAAAATTGGATTGTTAAAATTTCTATTTATTTCATCGAATTTGTACTGTTAATTGAATAAATGGTACATGGCACATGTTAAATGAAAATGGCTAAAATGGGGAAAAAAGCCCAGTTTTGGCTTTTTAGGTTGTCCTAATTTCGGGACTTTTTCCATTTTTTAATCGATTCTTTTGTTATAAACTGTTCATTTATCCTTTTCCAAACCAGCAGAACGTAAATTATTAATTAAAATAATTACATAACAGTGGAAAATGGGAAATAGGGGCAAAACGCGCAGTTATGACTTATTGTTTCATGTTCTAATTTTATGACTTTTTACATTTGTTGATCGTTCTTTTTGTTATAAACTGTTCATTTATCCTTTTCCAGGCCCAACAGAACGTACAATATGAATAAAATAAGGATAACTGTGGAAAATGGCGAATAGGGTGGGGGCAAAACACCCAGATATGGCTTTTTCTCATTTTCTAATTTTATGACTATTTACATTTGCTAATCTTTTTTTCATATATATAAACTTTTCATTTATCCTTGTCCGGGCTAAAAAAAATCGTTAACCGTGGAAAATGGAAAATAGGGAGGCAAAACGCCCAGTTATGGCTTTTTTCTAATTTTATGACTATTTACATTTGCTAATCTTTTTTTATATATATAAACTTTTCATTTATCCTTGTCCGGGCTAAAAAAATCGTTAACCGTGGAAAATGGAAAATAGGGAGGCAAAACGCCCAGTTATGGCTTTTTTCTAATTTTATGACTATTTACATTTGCTAATCTTTTTTTTATATATATAAACTTTTCATTTATCCTTGTCCAGGTTAAAAAAAATNAAAAAGAGTACTACATGGGGGAATAGTCTGTAATGCTGTAACTAATACACGAAGTTACATACAGTTACAGAACAATATATTTATTAAACAGGACTTGTTAAACAAACTGCAAAACCTTGCGACGTTCAATGCTTATATGCACTGCTATAGGATACATTTAATAACTGAGAGAAAACAAAACCGCTTCGGCCAAAACGCACATCATACCGCTGCGTGTGTCACAACCTAGCAAAACCGAAGCGGTAAACGCTTCGGTCAAAACCGCTCCGTGTGTCAGCGCCCTTACTGTGCAAAATGGAAAATAGGGAGGCAAAACGCCCAGTTATGGCCTTTTTTTCTCATTTTTTAATTTTATGACTTTTTTCATTTGTTAATGGTTTCTTTTGTTATAAACGGTTCATTTATCCTTTTCAAAACCAGCAGAACGTAAAATATTAATTAAAATAATTTGATAACAGTGGAAAATGGGAAATTAGGGCAAAACGCCCAGTTATGGTTTTTTCTCATTTTCTAATTTTTTGTCTTTTTACATTTGTTAATCGTTTCTTTTGTAATAAACTGTTCATTTAGCCTTGTCCAGACGAACACAACTTATAATATGAATAAATGATTATTCAGAAATCGTGAGATGCGGTCTGGTGTGATGTAGGTTTCAGAAAAACATTTTCCTTATCGTGCCAACGTTTCGATCTTTATTGAGATCATCTTCAAGGCCTGGGATTTACGAACATTGTTTAAATTTAACAAAAACACGTATGATGAGGAAAAAAGTGAATTTATACAATGTGAATAAATATTTTTGTTTTATATTCAATCAAAGTATTTCTACTCACTCAAAGTGTTTGTTTTCTGCGTAACACAACACTGCGTGAGTAGAAATACTTTGATTGAATATTAAAAAAATATCTATTTGCATTGTATAAATTCACTTTTTTCCACATCCTACAAGTATTTGTTAAATTTAAACAATCAATGTTTGTATATCCCAGGCATAAAATATATAAAATATTTTATATATTTTATAAATATATAAAATATTTATAAAAAATATTTTGTTAAATTGTTTTAACCCTTTGTACGCGACATCGAACGGGTAGTTTGGAATATTTATTTTTATTTGTAGTGATTAGTGACAGTTAGTCGATGATTGTTCGGAAATCGTGAGATGCGGTCTGGCGTGATGTAGGTTTCAGAAAAACATTTGCTTTGTCGTGCCAACGTTTCGATCTTTATTGAGATCATCTTCAGGGCTTGGGATTTACAAACATTGTTTAAATTTAACGAATGTAGGATGTGGAAAAAAGTAAAGTAGTATCAATATTTTGTTTGAATATAAAAAAATATTTTTTGCATTTAATGCAATTTAAACAATCAATGTTTGTATATCCCAGGCCCTGAAGATGATCTGAATAAAGATCGAAACGTTGGCACGATAAGGAAAATGTTTTTCTGAAACCTACATCACACCAGACCGCATCTCACGATTTCTGAATAATCATCGATAGACGGTTACTAATCACCACACAAATATGAATAAAATATGGATAACTGTGGAAAATGGCAAAAAGGTGCAATTCGGCCAGTTTTGGCTTTTTCGGTTTTTCTTACATCAGTAGATTTTTCGTTTGTTAATTGTGTTTTTTTTTTAACTGGAAAATGGCACATATGGGGGGAGCGAAAACCCGAAAACCCGCGTCCATCATTAATATGATATTTGAAAAAAATTTCATAAATAACAATAACCTTCCATAGAAATGCCTGCCCAAGCCATAACACCAGCAATGCTATGATTTCTAGCCCAGAGAGAAGCTTTACTGAAAAACCAACAAAAAAAGAGACTATTTGAAGATTTATTTACAAAATCCAATTGTAAACACAAGTGGGAGATTTTATCTGTGTTTTATTTACCTCTAATCCTTTAAAACGGACCAAATATTGTTGTAAGATAATCAATGGAGGATTGTCTAAGAGATAATTAAAAATATTAAGGGTGGCCGCTTTTTGTTGCCTTTCAGTATTTTTCTTTGTGACAGATCCAAAAATTTATGCAAAACACTCCGTCAATATGCAGTTCATACAAAGAAGTCAAATTCATTCCAGAAATCAGTTGTATTGAGAGAAAAAATCGATATCAATCTAGATGATACATTAAATTCTTAAGGTTCGACTTTTTCTTTGAATATTTTTAAGAAATAAAATGACTTTTGTTTATAATGGCATATTTTCGACATTGACTATTTTGAGATCGCCGAGGCGTCTTTGAGTTCTTGTTAGACGTTTATTTTTATTTTTAAATGTCGAAACACGCCAGCCTAACTGGCAGGTGAGGTATTACAAATAAATCAGATGTAATTGAGTTGTTAGAAAATAATAATACGGCTTGTTATACTCAACAGGCAAAATAAATATGCTAAAATGTATGCTATTTCGACTAATTATTTAAGTAGTGAAAGCAGATCCCGATTCAAAAGTAATTCCGGGGATAAAATATTGATTCCAACCTGTGACCTTTAACAAATAAAGGAAGTTCTTTTTCGAGATATCAGATATACAGTGGATGTGCTACACCCTGTGAATGACTGTCATCAAGATTGAAAAAACTCGAATGAATGGAAATCGTACCGGACGTTGAACATTCAATACCTGCCGAGAAAATGTTTGAAAACGTTGGGAAAAAGATACTAATTATAGTTGTTACCTATGATTTTGCCCGGCAGCTGCCAGACGGACATATCGCATCTGTGCGCTGCAAGCGGATATTGATGGTCCGTTGAAAAGCTGGCAGACCCATTTGGCAAGGGTTAAATGCCATTTTTTTATATATATTTTACCCCGCCCTTTTGAGTCTGTGACGTTGGGGGTGAAACGTCTTATTTGCGTTTGGGTTGGAATAGAACGCAGAATGGCAGTTGTAAGCCTGAAAATTTTTCCTCCGATGTAGATCTTTTGAAAGTTTTTTAACCCAACACAGTTTGTCCTTTTCTCAGACTCATTTTTAAACAAAAATAATAATTGATGAAATAGGAGAACAATATTAAGACTAGAGAGCGGAATAAATTAAATTAATTGTGCGTTTTGACACACTCTGGCTCTTGTTTTTGAATGACCAAAAAGGTTGAAATTCAGCCAAACTTCCCAGAAATACTTGCCAAGGCTGAAATATTTAATTTTCTTAGCGCGGGGTTACAATGTAAATATTTTTTTGTAAACCACGCATTGTTTCGAATGGTTACAAAATTACGTTTTGAATTTGAATAATAACTTATAATAAAAATTCAGAAATCATATAGAAGAAATATTTTGTATTTTGTCTTATAATTTACGGTATTCTACAGACTAATACAACCGAAGAAAAATAATTTTATATTCGTATGATGGTGTTCCTCAGGGTAGCGTTCTGGCCCCTACACTATTCCAAGTGTTCATAGCTGATATGCCATCACATCCTGAAACCACCACATTCACATTTTCAGACGATACAGCAATTCTCTGTAGCAACTCCGACCTTGTCATTTCCACTTGAAATCTCCAACAACACCTCATACTACGTAGAGCCTGGAGAAAAAAAGAAAAGGATAAATTTAACACAGACAAATCCATCCACATTATCTTCACTCTTCGTAAACATTTTGTAATTCCTTCTTTTTATCTCAAATTTATCAAGGATTGCAACCTTAACCAGATCGCCTGCAAAAAAAAATGTAAAAAAACACTTAAAAATCTCTTGACATATTTAAGATTTGTGTGGTGATTAGTGACCGTTAATCGATATTTATGCAGAAATCGTGAGATGCGGTCTGGTGTGATGTAGGTTTCAGAAAAACATTTTCTTTATCGTGCCAACGTTTCGATCTTTATTGAGATCATCTTCAGAGAAATTGGGATGTAAGACCGATGTAAGTTGCCGGACAGTTTAAACAGATCTGACGTAATCTACAAGATCAACTATTTAAACTGTCCGGCAACTTACATCGATCTTACATCCCAATTTCTCTGAAGATGATCTCAATAAAGGTCGAAACGTTGGCACGATAAAGAAAATGTTTTTCTGAAACCTACATCACACCAGTCCGCATCTCACGATTTCTAAATAAATATTTAAGATTGTTTTGTAAGTTTTATATAGGTGTATTGGTTGTCAAATCAATTGTACAAATATGTTTTTCATAATGTGAAATTTATATAAGCCCTGACGATAACCGACCTTGAAGTAGGTCGAAAAATTGGCATAAGCAACTAAATTTGCTTTCTTCTTCTTCTGGTCTTGATTATGCCAGCTTTCCACCTATTTTAAGGTTATCTTCAGAGCTTATATTAATGCACATTTGTACAATTGACTTAACAATCAATATAACTATATAGAACTTACAAAACAACCTTAAATATGTTTAGAGATTGACATATTAAGTGTTTTTCCTCTTTTTTTTTCTTTTTTCTTTACAAGTATCTCAAATTTACCAAGAATTGCAACCTTAACCAGATCTCCTGTAAAAAAAATGGAAAAAACACTTAAATCTCTTGACATATTTAACATTGTTTTGTAAGTTTTATATAGTTGTATTGGTTGTCAAATCAATTGTACAAATATGTTTTTCATAATGTGAAAGTAATATAAGCCCTGACGATGACCGACCTTGAAGTAGGTCGAAAAATTGGCATAAGCAACTAAATTTGTTTTCTTCTTCTTCTGGTCTTGAAGAGGAAAGCAAATTTAGTTGCTTATGCCAGTTTTCCACCTATTTTAAGGTCATCTCCACGGCTTATATTAATGCACATTTGTACAATTGACTTAACAATAAATATAACTATATAGAACTTACAAAACAACCTTAAATATGTTTAGAGATTGACATATTAAGTGTTTTTTCCTCTTTTTTTTTTTCTTTACAAGTATCTCAATTACCAAGGATTGCAACCTTAGCCAGAGCGCCTGAAAAAAAAACTAGACATATTTAAGTTTGTTTTGTAAGTTATATTGATTGTTAAGTCAATTGTACAAATATGTTTTTCATAATGTGAAATTAATATAAGCCCTGATGATGACCTTAAAGTAGGTCGAAAACTTGGCATTAGCAACTAAATTTGTTTTCTACTACTTCAAGACCGTACCTTGATTCAGAGTGTTAATAGAAATCAATAGAATAAGAATAATTTACAGTTATCCCTATTCGTTTTTGAGCAATTTATATGGACTTCGTGAAACTAGTAATATTCAAATTTCAAACTCATAGACTTAACAGATAAACGTGATTAAAATTCTCTTTATTGTCAATATTCACCCTTGTGTGTGGTGTTTAGTGACAGTGATGTAGATTTTAAAAAAACATTTTCTTTATCGTGCCAACGTTTCGATCTTTACTGAGATCATCTTCAGAGCTCAAAGTGTTTTTTTCCGTGTAGATGTGTTATTCTTGTCTGTCGTTGAGAGTTGACACAATTTGAGCCCTGAAGATGATCTCAATAAAGATCGAAACGTTGGCACGATAAAGAAAATGTTTTTCAAAAACCTACGCCCACCAGGTCGCATCTCACGACCTCCAAATAATCAATCACCCTTGTGTTCTTTTACCTAGTTTTAGAATACGTTTGGTTGTCATTCGATAATTTATTTTTTTAAAGGCATTAAATTCAAAAATTGATTGTTACAATAACGGAAAGGAAATCGATCTCTATTTTTATTCCATTTCCTTACGAGTGGGTATGCGCGAACGAGAAGCACATCCGGGCCGAAATTTACAAACAATGGCACAATGTCATATCTCGAGTCGGACAGGCAATAAATCCTTCGGCGAGGCAATCGACCGTACCACGGCGTTTACGACTGTTTTAAACCGCGATTTAGACAAATTTCCACCGAGGACATGTTCGTCTATGCTAAACTGTTCAAAAGAGATGCCCTGGTATTTTAACTTTTCAATTATCTCCCTGGCTTTACTCCAAGGCTCTTGCTATTATCATTAACAACAATAATATGTTTTTCCTTAATTTAAATATTAGCTTTAGAACGGGGAGAAAAGATGAGGGTAGATATTTTTTCTGCTTTTTATCATGGAACCACGGGCTTCTTTATCTTTCAAACTATATCTGACGAGATTTAAATCGTAATTTGGATCCTTATGCGTCATGACTTATCATCTGAATAACGTTTTGTAAATTATTTAAATTACCTTTTTTTGGCTTCCGGGGCTCCACAAAGACAGGCTCATCATGTTTATACATTTTGTATTGATGTGGGACATCACGGTTTCCTTCCAGCTGACCTCACGGCCCACGGGTTTTCCTTAAAAGAGCTCGCGGATCGATCTGGTGACAACCGCTCTGGAGAGACTTCCTGATTTGCCGGAAGAGACGTTTTATTAAAAAAAAAAAAAAATGATCAGAACTACTTTTTATCCGAATCTCGTTCGTGATAAGAGTCTATTTTTACAATCGTTGTATTTCTAGGGGCCCAGAATGTCCGGACTGGAGCGTTGACAAAAATACTGAATTCTTTCTCAAAATAGCCGTGCCACGAAGCCGACCTTCTTGACGTCCGTCGAAATGATTCATCCCCTGTTACATCTCGTCCTCCCGATCTTTAGCACTTGAACGACCTAAGGGTGAAATTGTATGTCCACTCGTACTGAGCGAAACTGTAAAAATTAAGAATTGGCATTTCCACAGGTTTTTTTAAATGAATTTCATACAATTTTATAATACCAGGCTTGTCTAATGTTTATAAACTATGAGATTTCCTCGTAAGGTCAGTCTTGGTCGTTTCCGCCGTCAGATGCGTTCTGCATTTTGTAATCTGTAGTATCTGTGTGTTTTTTCTTCCTATTTATACTTTTCAAACATCATTAGATACCACTGAAGATGTCGGAACGCGCCTCACAGACAGTGAGCATGGGCTGACCTGAAGATCAGAGGTTATCAAACTTCATCACCCGAATGCCTCAACGAGAAATCTCACTGCGTTCATAAATATTATGACAAGTGTCTGTTTCTTCTAATACGTGTGTTGTTCACAAAATACAATATTTCTTCATAAATCGGAATTTTTAATTTCCGGTCGATCTGATATATCTGTCTCGCTGTTAAGGTCTGTCAAACTACTGAAATCTTCGTCATTTATTTAGGGCAGCATTTTTTTATAGGCGATTATCCTTTAATATACTACTTGTCACGATCTTCAGTTATAATGGAATGTGAAGAAATTTAAAGGTTTTCTGTTCTTCTTGAGGTTTTGCGGAAAGCTTGGTCTTTTGTGACCAGTGGAAAATTCCGGTCCTCCAATTGAACCGTAAGATATATTTTCTGGAAATCTCATTTCTATAAATGACATATGTCCTCCTGAAAATAAAGTTGAAATAATGTAAGCAGAAATGTCAAAAAACTGTTGGAAACGACCGAGCTACAATTATTTCGACCAATTTCTTAAATTTTATATAATGAGCGTTTTCTGTTCAATCGGCACTGAAGATAGCAAGAAGCTGAAACACGGAGATTGAATTTTTTTTTTTTTTTGAGGTTTTGGTTGTCGCTGTTAAGGTCTGTCAAACTACTGAAATCTTCGTCATTTATTTAGGGCAGCATTTTTTATAGGCAATTATCCTTTAATATACTACCTATCACAATCTTCAGTTACAATGCAATGTGAAGAAATTTAAAGGTTTTCTGTTCTTCTTGAGGTTTTGCGGAAAGCTTGGTCTTTTGTGACCAGTGGAAAATTCCGGTCCTCCAATTGAACCGTAAGATATATTTTCTGGAAATCTCATTTCTATAAATGACATATGTCCTCCTGAAAAATAAAGTTGAAATAATGTAAGCAGAAATGTCAGAAACTGTTGGAAACGACCGAGAGATTTATTATTTCGACCAATTTCTTAAATTTTATATAATGAGCATTTTCTGTTGAATGAGCACTGAAGATAGCAAGAAGTTGAAACACGGAGATTGAATGTTTTTTTGTTTTTTTTTGAGGTTTTGGTCGCCGTTGTTACGGTCTGTCAAACTACTGTAATCTTCGACATTTATTTAGGACAGCATTTTTTTAGGCGGTTATCCTTTAATATACAACTTGTCACAATCTTCAGTTATAATGGAATGTGAAGAAATTTAAAGGTTTTTTGTTCTTCTTGGGATTTGCAGAAAGCTTGGTCCTTTCTGGCCATCCAGATAAAAATGCCAAAAAAGGTTGGAAACGACCGGTTATTTCGACCAATTTCTTTCTTACATTTTTGAGGATTTTCTGCTGAATCACTGAAGGTGGACAGAAGCTCAAACACTAGGATTGAACGTTTTTCTGCGGTTTTGTCGAAAAAGCGCGTATGAAGCTTCTGAGTCAGATTTCAGCCGACTTGCTCAGATTTGTCTGGGTGCGGAAAACAATTAAAAACGTGCTGGAAAGTAGAAAAGCCAATTTGCCCGGATCTCGGCCCCTTCGTAAATTATGCAAGAAGCTATAATTCGCGTGGAATTATCTCAAAAAAAACCGCGTCCATCCGAGGGTCGCCAATATCCCATTTCCTCCCCTCTTGAAATGAATATGTCGCTTGAAGTGGGGACGCGTAAAACGGGGATTACGCTCTCAAGTCAGTCCTTCCGCGGCCGTCAGTGACAAATGTGTTAAATCGTCATCGTAATCTTACAATTTTACGCCGCCCCCGCGACCAAACGGGAAAAGCACAATTCGCCCAGGGAGGCGATTTCCGTAGGTAAATTCTCGATGGGGAAAAATAACGAAGCCTGTTCGACCCTCTTTCCACCCCCTGTGTTTGCTCCATGTTGCCTTTTTACCAACGGCGGCAGCTATGTTTCACGTTCTAAACCTGAGATAAAAATTTTAAACAAATCTCACCAAACACCAACCTCGAGTCCTGGAAGAATCACCGAAAGGAAAAATCCTGAGAAATTATCGAAAAATATGTTACACCATTAGTGAAGGCCGTTTTTTTTTTTCAATTTTAGATATCAACAAGCAAAATTTATCGCCAACAGCCAATACATTTCATCTATCCTTATAAAAAAATTTAATTTTTAAAATTATTCTATTAAATTCGGAAAAAGGTGGCTTTTTGTACCACAAACCCAATTTGTTTGGTCGATATCAATTTATTTTTAAAACCACCGTTTCAAGGCTAGTAATATAATGTCCGTTATTAAGAAGTGGCTTCTGTTTCATCGCCAAGCCTATTATTTGATTAATTATTCAAATCAAGGGCCCTGAGGAAAACCTAGCCGTGGTCCGACCCAGAATCTGTCATAAATTAGCAAAAAAATTATCAAATGCATACTGAATACTTTTTACATATGGTTTGGGCTTAAATATACTTTTTTTACTTATCTTCTCTATTGCTTTATGATGTGCATTATTGGAAATAAGATGCACCTCTACTTGTTTATACATTCGTTAACTTGGATGTGTGAAATTTGTTGGCAGATTTGTCAAAAAAAACTTTGTGTATGTTAGAATTAAAATTAAAATCATTCAATTAATTAAGGTTTGTAGTTGAGATAAAAAAAAGTCAGTGTTACGAGCGGGATTCGAACCCACGACCCTCGGCTAAATACGCCGCTGCTCTACCACTTGAGCTATCGTGACTTCGATCCACTCGGACATCAACTTCTCCCCATCTCAACCCCACGTTTTGAATTTTCCCAACTTTTTGCCATTTTTCAATTGGTCAAGTGGACCACAAAAGCTAGGGAATTAAAATTAAACATTTTTAAAATTTATATTGTTTAATTCGGAATATACAGCCTTAATATGATTTTTTTTATTGTTGTATATCAGGCTTGGTGAATAACGGTCTATATAACAAGATTCAAATTTTGCCATTTTTTTATCGTTCTATATAAAAATCGTTTAATTTGGATAAACTATGATCTGTATTTCTTTGTTACTCATTTTATTTAAGGTAGGAAGAATCTAAGAGTTTTCCTTTAATGGGAATTATTTTCAAATTACTAATTACTTAAAAACGCGCCCGCCGGCTGCCGCCGGACGAATATGGAGCGGACAAGGACTCATTTTAGTGTATTCAGTTTCGAAAATGCCGTGATTTATAGGTGAATAAATGATATGTGAAATGGAGGTCGTTGTGGAAAGGAAGCCTCGAGGGCGACTCTGGAGTTTGGACAGCCCTGAGCCCCGGGACAACCCTGCCAGGAGGTCTTCCATCGCCAGCTTCAGAAACATTTACGCAAGGGTTCAACGGCTTTACCTCTCAGGTAAATTTCTTCCGGAAAAAAAAGATATAAAACCGAACAGGCGAGTTTTTAATCAATTAGTTTGCAACTGAAACCTTTAGTAAAGATTTCAAGCGTGCCAGGAAAAATATAAGGACTTGAAATGCGTATTATATATGTGACTTAATTTGACCAATATAAAAGTCAAATTGGAATACAAGAGCATCCCAAAGTTCATAGTTCATATTAAAAAAAAAGTGTATTCTTTAAAGGAAAAGGTCCTAAGTGATAAAGATCGCGGAGATCTAAGGAATAACTTATTTTTCTTTGGAAAAGGTCAAATCTGGAGGATTAAGATCGTTTTCACATCAATAAATAATGAATTTGAATGAATCTCTGAAAATTCGTGCAATTCTATTTATTTGCATTTACAAGTGGTTATTTAGCAAATTCTCAGTCCAGGAACATTAACTTAACCATGAGACTCCATAAAATTACCTATAAAAAATACTGTCCTAAGTGTCAAAGATTTCGTAAATTTAGTACATCATTTTCTTCGCGTGTAAGGGTAAAGTTTTCAAGCATCCCAGCCAGAATTTGACCAATATAAAAGTCAAATTGGAAAGAAAAGCTGGTAGTTCATTACAGAAAATTAACAGTTGTGTCCTTAGAAATGAAAAGATCCAAAGTGACGAAGATTGCGGAAATTTAAGAAATTCATATTTTTCCTTGGAAAAGGTCAAGCCCGGAGAATTAAAATTGCTTTTATTATCAATAAAATATGATAATATACCTCAAAAGGTTTCTCAAAAATTCGTCCAATTCTATTTATTTAGCAAATTCTCAATCCAGGAGCATTAACTTAACCATGAGACTCCATAAAATTACCTATAAAAAAAATACTGTCCTAAGAGACAAGATTTCAGAAATTGGGTACATCATACCCTTTGTAGGGAAGCGTAAAGTTTTCAAGCATCCCAGACAGAATTTGACCAATATAAAAGTCAAATTGGAAAGAAAAGCTGGTATTTCATTACAGAAAATTAACAGTTGTGTCCTTTGAAATGAGAAGATCCGAAGTGACGAAGATTGCGGAAATTTAAAAAATTCATATTTTTCCTTGGAAAAAGTCGGAGAATTAAAATCGCCTTTATCATCAATAAAATTATGATACTATATTTCAAAGGTTTCTGAAAATTCGTGCAATTCTATTTATTTAGCAAATTCTCAATCCAGGAGCATTAACTTAACCATGAGACTCCATAAAATTACCTATAAAAAAAATACTGTCCTAAGTGACAAAGATTTCAAAAATTTGGTACATCATTTCCTCTGTAGGGAAGCGTAAAGTTTTCAAGCATCCCGGACAAAATTTGACCAATATAAAAGTCAAATTGGATCCTTTGAAATGAAAAGATCCGAAGTGACGAAGATGGCGGAAATTTAAGAAATTCATATTTTTCCTTGGAAAAAGTCAAGCCCGGAGAATTAAAATCGCTTTTATCATCAATAAAATTATGATAACATATTTCAAAGGTTTCCGAAAATTCGTGCAATTCTATTTATTTAGCAAATTCTCAATCCAGCAAATTCTTAACCATGAGACTCCATAAAATTACCTATAAAAAAACCTGTCCTAAGTGACAAGATTTCAAAAATTTGATACATTTCCTTTCTAGGGGAGCGTAAAGTTTTCAAGCATCCCCGACAAAATTTGACCAATATAAAAGTTAAATTGGAAAGAAAAACTGGTAGTTCATTAAAAAAAAATTATTATTCAGATATCGTGAGATGCGGTGTGATGTAGGTTTCAGAAAAACATTTTCTTTATCGTGCCAACGTTTCGATCTTTTATTGAGATCATCTTCAGGGCTCAAAGTGTTTGTCTTCTGTGTAATTGTGCCATCCTTGCGTGTCGTGTTGAGAGTGAGAGATTAAAAAAAGTGTCCTTTGAAATGAATTTCAACAATTGAATTTCAGGCGTGATAAAGTCGGTTATGATAAAATACCTCTAAGGTGTTTCAGAATGTGCGCAAAACGTGTTTATTTGCGTTTAGAAATACTTATTAGCGTGCAAAATTGATGAGTCGTCGAGAGGCAGGGCTAGATTGGTACCAAATTGAACTATAAAGTATTTAATCGACGTAAACATCGCAAGAAAGCTCGGTAGTTTATTAAAAATAAACAAATAAACGCAAGATTATAAAGGTCAGAACTAAGATTTTTTGTTAATTTAAATTTTACTTTTTACATTAGACAGGTCAAATCTGGCGAGTTAATTTTAAACAAAAATTGTTAATAAATCAAGCAAATCTATTTTCATGTTGAAATATTTGTTTTTTAATCAATGAAAAGAGACATGATGTCATAGAAATAATAATGACGCTGCGAAATCAGCGAGTTTATTATGTATTTTTTCACTTCGCAAGGTGTCCGACAACCAATTTTACTTATATTGTACACTAGATTAAAAAAAGTATTTATCGCTTTTCAAAAATGCAATTTGTCCAATAGAAGATTATTTACAGGAGAATGAAAATTTATTTTTGTATTATTAATTATTTAACGAATCAGTTTCATCAATCATCAAGGAAGAAAATACGGCCTCGTAGTGATGAGGCGAAAATTATTGCGATTGAGGTTGAGGTTTAATTGTCCATCAAGTTCTAAAAATAATTCAAACGCTTCCTATCAAGGTTTTTCTTTTATATTATTTATTTTATTTATATTTTTGTAGTAGATTCCCCGACTGTAGATTAATATGTATATTTTTTACTTTGTTTTCTTTTCCTAAAAGGATTTTCTTTAAAATTTGGGTAGCCCAAGAAACGCTGTTTTTATACAGGTTAATTTATTTCACATTTTTTCTTATATTTTTTTTGTTTTTCTGCCTATCATCAGGAAACCCTAACAAGAAATACAGTCAAATAAATATACATTATAGCATTAGTAATATCACTTACGTTTTTTTTTATTTTATGGTTAAAAACATTAATATTAATTACCTATTAGTCTCGGCTGCCATCCTATGCTTTTTTTCTGAGGAGAGAATTAGATAGCTTCCTTACAAAAAAATCGCAATGGGATGGCAGGCGAGACTGCTAGGCAATTAATACTGATGTTTTCGACCATAAAATAAAAAAAGTAAATAATATTAATTACTAATGCTATAATGTATATTTATTTGTACTGTATTTCTTGTTAGGGTTTCATGATGATAGGCAGAAAAACAAAAAAATAGCCCGAAACTTAGAAGAAAAAATGTGAAATAAATTAACCTGCATAAAAACTACCCCTATTTTAAAGAAAATCCTTTTAGGAAAATAAAGAAGGTAATAAAATATACATAATTTTATATTATTGATGTCTCATGCCATTAGATAACCTATTAATAAAACCGTTCAAGTTTGCTAACTGCTAACCGTATTTTCATATTTTAACCCCCTTTTTTTAAACTTAACAGGACGGAATGTTTAAATCATATTTTTAATCTCTGGCCAATTGATTTTTCGCAAGAAAATTTGTG